CCGTGTCTCTTGGTCCTTAATGATCGCGGAATAAAAGCCGTAAAATAACAGGGATGAAAACTAGGTCAAGTTGGGAAGAGAGAGAGAGAGAGAGAGAGAGAGAGAGAGAGAGAGAGAGAGAGAGAGAGAGAGAGAGAGAGAGAGAGAGAGAGAGAGAGAGAGAGAGAGAGAGAGAGAGAGAAAGAGAGAGGTGTGCCAATAATATGGAAAGTCTTTATCATAATGCCACCCTTATCAGTGAAAAAAAACACCTTTTCAGAAGACCCTGTTAAATCCTCTCGTATACAATTACGTACATGATATTAAAAGAAGGCGCTCAAGCCCTATACTAACCACTTACTATATGTAAAAAAAATCATTGGTGAGAGGAGAACTACCAAAGAGCTAAATGGAACCCATTGTTACATCATTACATTTCAAGGGAGACACTATCCATTACTTGCATGCCATTCAAGGTGATGGACAAGCCAGTATGAGGTTCAATGTAACGGACAACTGAAAGCAGATACTTCGTGTGTCTGTCTGTCTCTCTCTATATATATCTGCATGAATGCATAGTGCAAATATGCATCTGACAGACTTTTATGCAAACTGAGAGTAAAAAAAAAATGTTGGCGGATGAGATGAGGTCCTTAAGGCCATCAGACTGGCGGTGATTCCGGCTCTGAGAGGATCATTTTTTTTTTTTTTGAGATATATACAAGAGTTGTTACATTCTTGTAGAGCCACTAGTACGCGTAGCGTTTCGGGCAAGTCCTTAATCCTATGGTCCCTGGAATACGATCCCCTGCCGCGAAGAATAGTTTTTTCATCCAAGTACACATTTTACTGTTGCGTTAAACAGAAGCTACAGTTAAGGAATTGCGCCCAGTAAATCCTCCCCGCCCAGGATACGAACCCATGACATAGCGCTCGCGGAACGCCAGGCGAGTGTCTTACCACTACACCACGGAGACTGCAAATAGATCCTGATTTTAATAGATCCTGAAAAGCACACGACCACTGTAATGGGGTTTTATTTGCTCCTCCTATTTCTCCTTTTCATATTTCTTCAACGTTATTTCAGATAATTATTTCTTATTCCCATTATTTTTTTGTCTATATTGAGTGAATGAAACCTAAAAGGGGTACCATCTCTTGTGTAAGTGTAGGGACCCATAGTCTCGGAGAAGAAAAGAAAGAGTACTCAGAGAAGACCTTGTGGATCCTCACTTAATACTTTGATATTGTCTTGTTTTGTACATAACAGCATGTTGTATGAGTGATCATGTTGTACGTAGCAACATGTGTATGAGGGATCATGTTGTACGTAGCAACATGTGTATGAGTGATCATGTTGTACGTAGCAGCATGATGTATGAGTGATCATGTTGTACGTAGCAACATGATGTATGAGTGATCATGTTGTACGTAGCAGCATGATGTATGAGTGATCATGTTGTACATAGCAGCATGATGTATGAGTGATCATGTTGTACGTAGCAACATGTGTATGAGTGATCATGTTGTACATAGCAGCATGATGTATGAGGGATCATGTTGTACATAACAGCTTGGTGTATGAGTGATCATGTTGTACGTAGCAGCATGATGTATGAGGGATCATGTTGTACGTAGCAGCATGATTATGAGTGATCATGTTGTACGTAGCAGCATGATGTATGAGTGATCATGTTGTACGTAGCAACATGTGTATGAGTGATCATGTTGTACGTAGCAACATGTGTATGAGTGATCATGTTGTACGTAGCAACATGTGTATGAGTGATCATGTTGTACGTAGCAGCATGATGTATGAGTGATCATGTTGTACGTAGCAACATGATGTATGAGGGATCATGTTGTACGTAGCAACATGATGTATGAGTGATCATGTTGTACGTAGCAACATGTGTATGAGGGATCATGTTGTACGTAGCAACATGATGTATGAGTGATCATGTTGTACGTAGCAACATGTGTATGAGTGATCATGTTGTACGTAGCAACATGTGTATGAGTGATCATGTTGTACGTAGCAGCATGATTATGAGTGATCATGTTGTACGTAGCAGCATGATTATGAGTGATCATGTTGTACGTAGCAGCATGATGTATGAGTGATCATGTTGTACGTAGCAGCATGTGTATGAGGGATCATGTTGTACGTAGCAACATGTGTATGAGGGATCATGTTGTACGTAGCAGCATGATGTATGAGTGATCATGTTGTACGTAGCAGCATGATGTATGAGTGATCATGTTGTACGTAGCAGCATGATGTATGAGTGATCATGTTGTACATAACAGCATGTTATATGAGTGATCATGTTGTACGTAGCAGCATGATGTATGAGTGATCATGTTGTACGTAGCAGCATGATGTATGAGTGATCATGTTGTACGTAGCAGCATGATGTATGAGTGATCATGTTGTACGTAGCAACATGGCGTTTGTGACTGATCACATTACGAGTATAAATGATATTGGAGATATATGACACAAACATATATGCGTCACTCAACTGCTAATACGACATACACCATGTATGTTACCATCATCAAATATGCAAAATCACCAGAAATCATATTTTAAAACAAAATGCAAACATGCAGCACATGACAAATGTCACATGACAGAGCTGTGGACACGCGTGACAAAGTTTCATCCCGCGAGTCCAGAGCATCACGAGATAAACAGAGGGATGCTGCTCGTAGCCTCAAGTACTATCTCTCAGTTCATTAAGTCAAATAGGTCCAAACATAACTTTTCTATTAGGTTCCTAGGCAGCTGAAAATTAGGGAGCTGTTAAACACTCAGTTGAATTCGTATTTATCAGCGAATGAAGTTCAGGTCAGAGGTGTAGGGGCCTCGTAGCCTGGTGGATAGCGCGCAGGACTCGTAATTCTGTGGCGCAGGTTCGATTCCCGCACGAGGCAGAAACAAATGGGCACAGTTTCTTTCACCCTGAATGCCCCTGTTACCTAGTAGTAAAATAGGTACCTGGGTGTTAGTCAGCTGTCACGGGCTGCTTCCTGGGGGTGGAGGCCTGGTCGAGGATCGGGCCGCGGGGACACTAAAGCCCCGAAATCATCTCAAGATAACCTCAAGATAACCTTATGTTGGGAGATGGGTAGAGAGAGAGAGAGAGAGAGAGAGAGAGAGAGAGAGAGAGAGAGAGAGAGAGAGAGAGAGAGAGAGAGAGAGAGAGAGAGAGAGAGAGAGAGAGAGAGAGAGGGTGATGGTGGTGGCAGCAGTGACTGAGGTCTGGCTAGGATGGTTGACCTACAAGCTAAGGAAGACACTGAGGTCTGGCTAGGATGGTTGACCTACAAGCTAAGGAAGACACTGAGGTCTGGCTAGGATGGTTGACCTACAAGCTAAGGAAGACACTGAGGTCTGGCTAGGATGGTTGACCTACAAGCTAAGGAAGACTTAAGGCAGTACGGACAATGACTTAGCAAGTGGCTTGAAATGGACGCTTGAAAGTTCATTGGGGCAGGAGAGCCTCATAGTAGCTTGAGGTGATGGGTAAAGAGATGAGGGGACATGAGGCGTTGATTGGTGATGAGAAGTGAAGTGAGGTGGGGAAGTGGTGGGGACAAATGCAAGCACATCAAACCCCCACTCATTAATATTCAGAGCCTGCTAACTTTCCAGTCAGGTGGAGTCGGAAGGTAACTTTTAATTACGGCCGACTGCTTCCAGATCTTCGATAATTGGACGCCTTGCCGCTTGCTTCATCAGGGAGGGGGGGGTGAAGGGGGGGTGAAGGGGGGGGAAAGGGAGGGGGGGGAAGCCAGGCCTCTGCATTCCCCCTTCTAATTCCTTCCTCACACCAATCTCTCTCTCTCTCACACACACTCCTAGATGAGAGAGAGAGAGAGAGAGAGAGAGAGAGAGAGAGAGAGAGAGAGAGAGAGAGAGAGAGAGAGAGAGAGAGAGAGAGAGAGAGAGAGAGAGAGAGAAAGAAATGTTTACGTTCGTCATTTCTCAACTGTCCCAATTTTATTACCTGTTTTTTTAATTTTTTTTCCTGACGTTATTATTCATTTGTTCCATTCTCATCTTCGCACTCTTTCTCATCTGACCTTTTTTTTTAACCATATTTCTCACAATGTCAACATTTCCTACTACCAGAGCTGTTGAACAATCCCCACAAGCAGCACTGCTGTACAATCACCAGTTGCACTACTGTGCAACTGGTGATTGTACCAGTTGCAAAGTAAAGTGATTGTACCAGTTGCAATATATCAAAGCTCAGCTGAGCAACCTCCAGCACATCACAGCTGAACAACCAACACATCACAGCTGAACAACCAACACATCACAGCTGAACAATCTCCAACACATCACAGCTGAACAACTAACACATCACAGCTGAACAATCTCCAACACATCACAGCTGAACAACCAACACATCACAGCTGAACAATCTCCAACACATCACAGCTGAACAACCTCCAACTTAGCTTCATCACACTCCTAGTTTTTTTCCAGGGAGGAAAACTTTCAGCTTGATAACGAGTTGCTCTAAAGGCACTACGGGCTCACCATAGCCCGTGCTACTTTGAATAACGCAAAAAAAAAAACGTTCAATAACGTAATCCCACTTCTTCGCCAGTTATTCAACTCAATACTAACACTTAAATACGCGTTAATGCTAATACGTGTACTCAGAGGAGGAATACTTGGTGTATTAGCTGTGCTTAATGAAAAATAATAATTCCTTCCTGGGAATATAAACGGGCTGAATTCATTTGGTTGTAATGTAATGTTGTTCCGTGCGTTGGTGGCAAGAGCGTTACCTTGTAGGTAGCCGCGGTCGTTGTTATTTGGGCATTTAGGAACATTAAATAATTATCTCGCATCTCATTAAAAATAAATCTCTTTGATGGCTTTGTTTATCTTTTAGGGGGAACTCCTGTATACTGACTTCCCCTGTCGACTCTAGAATGGATGTCGTCCCATTGGTTTAGAATTATATCCAATGCTTGCTTATTTCTTGCCTAGTGTTCCGATGCTTTATTCCTTGCCTAGTGTTCCAATGCCTTATTCCTTGCCTAGTGTTCCAATGCCTTATTCCTTGCCTAGTGTTCCAATGCCTTATTCCTTGCCTAGTGTTCCAATGCCTTATTCCTTGCCTAGTGTTCCAATGCCTTATTTCTTGCCTAGTGTTCCAATGCCTTATTCCTTGCCTAGTGTTCCAATGCCTTATTCCTTGCCTAGTGTTCCAATGCCTTATTCCTTGCCTAGTGTTCCAATGCCTTATTCCTTGCCTAGTGTTCCAATGCCTTATTCCTTGCCTAGTGTTCCAATGCCTTATTCCTTGCCTAGTGTTCCAATGCCTTATTCCTTGCCTAGTGTTCCAATGCCTTATTCCTTGCCTAGTGTTCCAATGCCTTATTCCTTGCCTAGTGTTCCAATGCCTTATTCCTTGCCTGGTGTTCCAATGCCTTATTCCTTGCCTAGTGTTCCAATGCTTTATTCCTTGCCTAGTGTTCCAATGCCTTATTCCTTGCCTAGTGTTCCAATGCCTTATTCCTTGCCTAGTGTTCCAATGCCTTATTCCTTGCCTATTGTTCCAATGCCTTATTCCTTGCCTAGTGTTCCAATGCCTTATTCCTTGCCTAGTGTTCCAATGCCTTATTCCTTGCCTAGTGTTCCAATGCCTTATTCCTTGCCTAGTGTTCCAATGCCTTATTCCTTGCCTAGTGTTCCAATGCCTTATTCCTTGCCTAGTGTTCCAATGCCTTATTCCTTGCCTAGTGTTCCAATGCCTTATTCCTTGCCTAGTGTTCCAATGCCTTATTCCTTGCCTAGTGTTCCAATGCCTTATTCCTTGCCTAGTGTTCCAATGCCTTATTCCTTGCCGAGTGTTCCAATGCTATTGGCTTTGTTATCGGTTTTCTTTCATTCATTGTTGAAATGGGATGATTTTGAATTCCGTGTCTGCTAAATGTGTAGCCATATAGCCTCTTCAGGAAGGCAAGGTGAGCGGTTGCAGCTACACATGACCATTGTACTGGAGCTTCGACTGTATTAACTGGAACTGTATTGAACAGTTCCATTGTACTGGAACTGCATTAACTAGTCAATCTTCTCATTGTTCCTCAGGTCAGTAGTGGAATGGTATTGAGGTTCATCCTTAACATTGAATGCTGCAATCTTATCGATCACGACCCTCTAGCTTAATCTAGCTTCATGCGAGTACTTACATGTTCCATTAACTTGCCTCCACCTATCCTCTCGGTTCTGTAACTGTAGCTTTAACATTCCTTCCCTCCCACTCACATTTATTATCTTCATCTGAAAAATTCAGCCTCCTACCTTATCTGTCTTCATTTCTCACTCTTTCAGGACTATATTCTTATCTGTATCCAACCCTCTCTTTACACCCTCTGAAATACTTTACCCTTATCCTACCTTTCTTTCCCTCCCTTTCCCCCCTACACTTTACCTTAATCTCTATCATGCATTTCCTACTCCCACTCAACCTTTATATGTCTCCTACCTTGCCTCCCTCTCTCAACAGTGCAACCTTATCTGTGTTGATCGTGTCCTGCCACTTAGCTCAATAAACCGCCCTCTCTCGTCTCTTGGGGTGGCAAACACCTCGAACTAACTGAGCTTGGGGCGAGGGGACAGGTGGATATCTCTCTCTCCTGGGATGCTAGGGCGAGGGACAGGTGGATATCTCTCTCTCCTGGGATGCTGGGGCGAGGGACAGGTGGATATCTCTCTCTCCTGGGATGCTGGGGCGAGGGACAGGTGGATATCTCTCTCTCCTGGGATGCTGGGGCGAGGGACAGGTGGATATCTCTCTCTCCAGGGATGCTGGGGCGAGGGACAGGTGGATATCTCTCTCTCCTGGGATGCTGGGGCGAGGGACAGGTGGATATCTCTCTCTCCTGGGATGCTGGGGCGAGGGACAGGTGGATATCTCTCTCTCCAGGGATGCTGGGGCGAGGGACAGGTGGATATCTCTCTCTCCTGGGATGCTGGGGCAAGGGACAGGTGGATATCTCTCTCTCCTGGAATGCTAGGACGAGAGCCAGGTGGATATCTCTCTCCTAGAATGCTGTGGCTAAATAATTCACGTTCTGTTTCCTCAGCTGGTGTCTTGAGGAAACAACACAGGGTCGTGGAGACTGGCATTATTAATAGTCTGTCTTGCTGGTCTGTGGAGCTGGAAATATATCTGTCATGTCAGATAAATGTTGGAGTATAAGTAATATAAGATGATTGGTATGCTTGTCTGGTGTGATCTGTCCAGAATGACATAAATTCTCAATGGCTTGAGATCTATAAAGAACTAGATGTACAGCAAAGTTACTTTTATTGTTGGGAAGTATTACCCCAAGAAGCTGTGATGACAGAGGTATATTGATGACACAAATAGTGTCACCTCTGTAAACGAAGAGCAACTTTGTAATTAAGGTATAAAAATGGCGGGAATGGGGACACAGCTGCTGACAAAAATGGAATACACGTGAAAAACAGCTCTTCCTGAGGAGTGTTGCACCTTTGAGGTTATCTTGAGGTTATCTTGAGATGATTTCGGGGCTTTTAGTGTCCCCGCGGCCCGGTCCTCGACCAGGCCTACACCCCCAGGAAGCAGCCCGTGACAGCTGAATAACACCCAGATACCTATTTTACTGTTAGGTAACAGGGGCATAGGGTGAAAGAAACTCTGCCCATTGTTTCTCGCCAGCGCCTGGGATCGAACCCAGGACCACAGAATCACAATTCCAGCGTGCTGTCCGCTCGGCCGACCGGCTCAAACCGTTGAGTATCATCAAAACTGAATCAAACTAACACACAATGAGTGAACCAAAAAATGATCTTTACAATCTAGAAATGGAAGTGACGAATAGTGTGAACTTGTTTCTGGAAATGCTGTATGTAAAGGAAAATTACCTTGCCTTAGTGGCTAGGTAAGAAGAACATCTTGACTAGGAGAAGAAGAACACCCCTGACTAGAGGAAGGAGAACACCTTGCCTTAGTGGCTAGGTAAGAAGAACATCTTGACTAGGAGAAGAAGAACACCCCTGACTAGAGGAAGGAGAACACCTTGCCTTAGTGGCTAGGTAAGAAGAACATCTTGACTAGGAGAAGAAGAACACCCCTGACTAGAGGAAGGAGAACACCTTGCCTTGGTGGCTAGGTAAGAAGAACATCTTGACTAGGAGAAGAAGAACACCCCTGACTTGAGGAAGGAGAACACCTTGCCTTGGTGGCTAGATAAGAAGAACATCTTGACTAGGAGAAGAAGAACACCCCTGACTAGAGGAAGGAGAACACCTTGCCTTAGTGGCTAGGTAAGAAGAACATCTTGACTAGGAGAAGAAGAACACCCCAGACTAGGGGAAGGAGAACACCTTGCCTTGGTGGCTAGGTAAGAAGAACATCTTGACTAGGAGAAGAAGAACACCCCTGACTAGAGGAAGGAGAACACCTTGCCTTGGTGGCTAGGTAAGAAGAACATCTTGACTAGGAGAAGAAGAACACCCCAGACTAGAGGAAGGAGAACACCTTGCCTTAGTGGCTAGGTAAGAAGAACATCTTGACTAGGAGAAGAAGAACACCCCAGACTAGGGGAAGGAGAACACCTTGCCTTAGTGGCTAGGTAAGAAGAACATCTTGACTAGGAGAAGAAGAACACCCCAGACTAGAGGAAGGAGAACACCTTGCCTTAGTGGCTAGGTAAGAAGAACATCTTGACTAGGAGAAGAAGAACACCCCTGACTAGAGGAAGGAGAACACCTTGCCTTGGTGGCTAGGTAAGAAGAACATCTTGACTAGGAGAAGAAGAACACCCCTGACTAGAGGAAGGAAAACACCTTGCCTTAGTGGCTAGGTAAGAAGAACATCTTGACTAGGAGAAGAAGAACACCCCAGACTAGAGGAAGGAGAACACCTTGCCTTAGTGGCTAGGTAAGAAGAACATCTTGACTAGGAGAAGGAGAACACCCCTGACTAGAGGAAGGAGAACACCTTGCCTTGGTGGCTAGGTAAGAAGAACATCTTGACTAGGAGAAGGAGAACACCCCTGACTAGAGGAAGGAGAACACCTTGCCTTAGTGGCTAGGTAAGAAGAACATCTTGACTAGGAGAAGGAGAACACCCCTGACTAGAGGAAGGAGAACACCTTGCCTTAGTGGCTAGGTAAGAAGAACATCTTGACTAGGAGAAGGAGAACACCCCTGACTAGAGGAAGGAGAACACCTTGCCTTAGTGGCTAGGTAAGAAGAACATCTTGACTAGGAGAAGAAGAACACCCCTGACTAGAGGAAGGAGAACACCTTGCCTTGGTGGCTAGGTAAGAAGAACATCTTGACTAGGAGAAGAAGAACACCCCTGACTAGAGGAAGGAGAACACCTTGCCTTAGTGGCTAGGTAAGAAGAACATCTTGACTAGGAGAAGGAGAACACCCCTGACTAGAGGAAGGAGAACACCTTGCCTTAGTGGCTAGGTAAGAAGAACATCTTGACTAGGAGAAGAAGAACACCCCTGACTAGAGGAAGGAGAACACCTTGCCTTGGTGGCTAGATAAGGAGAACATCTTGACTAGGAGAAGGAGAACACCCCTGACTAGGGGAAGGAGAACACCCCTGACTAGAGGAAGGAGAACACCTTGCCTTAGTGGCTAGGTAAGAAGAACATCTTGACTAGGAGAAGGAGAACACCCCTGACTAGAGGAAGGAGAACACCTTGCCTTGGTGGCTAGATAAGGAGAACACAGTATCTGAGTACTTACCTTCGGCTGTGGTGGCAGCAGGGATGCTGATACAGAGACCAAGTACCAGGAGGAAGAGGAGGGACATGTGTGCTACTCTGAGACAAGCAACAGGTAGGTGCTGGCAGCCCAGTAAACAAGCCATGTGTTCACGACTCATCCTTGTAGCAAGAACAGGTGTGTCACTGGTGATACAACACTTTCTTGGCTTTGTTGCAAACTGTCCTTGCAGTGCCTTAATGTTATGTTATCACTGTTTTAATAGTATCTTACTGCTCTGTTATCACTGTCTTAACTGTGTCTTAATACTCTTTTATCACTGTTTTGACAGTGTCTTAATGCCCTCTTATCACTGTCTTAGCACTGCATACAACTATCTTAATATTTTCTTATAACTTTCAACAGTGTCTTACCATTGTCTTATCATTGTCTTATCACTGCATTACCCACAACCACGTCAGATACTTATATCACTTATTCCCTCACTTATTTAAGCAATGGGACAAATTATTTTCTCCAATCCGTCATGAAAAAAGAATTTTTCCATCTCCTGCAACCACAAAACCGTGTTAAAGCTGATTTCGCGATATAGTGACGGAGGAAATATATGACCTTAATTACAGTAATTACTCTCCGGAGACCTCCAGCCGTCCCTCAGCCAATCAGCAAATTAAACTCCTAATTGTCAGCATCTCATCAAGTGAGGTGATGTATAGGACAGAGTATAGTCCTCGCCTCCTTTGGGTGCTTAAGACAGGTTTACGCTTCCAATTTGTCCTGATGTCTGTCATTTTTCCCGTCTTTTCTGTGTGTCTGTACTTTCCCTCCCGTCTCCTCTGTTCCACTAATGTGTTTCCTTAGACTTCTCTGTGGTAGCTTTAACCTCAAGTAATTGGGGGAGGGGGAATTACCTTGTTCTGACAATGCTGAATTATTGTGTGGGTTCTGAAGGCCTTATTCTTATCAGAGGATATGAGATAGACTAAGATATAGGCTTATTGCAGCTAAAGAGGAATTATTTTTGATTCTGGAAAAGTTAAATCTCACAGAAAGTCATTTCTTCAGTTTTGATGTGTATTCACAGGGAGAGAAGAGAGTGTTGATAGGGTAATTGATGATGCATAATTCCTCTTCAGCATCATTTCTCATCTTTCATCTCCACAGACTTCTCATCTCCTGCCCCTTCTACTCCCCCCTAACACCACCGCTCTCTCATCG